ATGGATAGAGAGCTCCTGCACCCCAAACAGAGAGGGATCAGGAGCGGAATGGACAGCAGAGCTTCTCCACCCCAAACAGAGAGGGATCAGGAGGGGAATGGATAGAGAGCTCCTGCACCCTGAGCAGAGAGGGATCAGGAGGAGGGAAAGCAGAGCTCCTCCACCCCGAGCAGAAAGGGATCAGGACAGAACAGGCAGCAGCTCCTCCATCCTGAGCACAGAGGGTTCAGGACAGGAACTGGCAGCAGAGCTCCTCCATCCTGATCAGGGAGGGTTCAAGACAGGAACAGGCAGCAGCTCCTCCACCCTGAGCAGAGAGCTCTCAGGAGGAGGAAAAGCAGCAGAGCTCCTCCATTCTCAGCAGAGAGGGCTCATGACAGGAACAGGCAGAAGCTTCTCCACCCTGAGCAAAGAGGGCTCAGGACAGAATGGGCAGCAGAGCTCCTGCATCTTGAACAGAAAGGGATCAGGAGGGGGAAAGCAGCAGAGCTCCTCGCGGTCACTTCCCAGCGCAGGGAATCCTGCCCCCAGGGCTGCGCTGCTGCCCCACGGGATCTGGGGAACACCAGTGGGGACAGGGACACCTCAGGGCTCCACCAGGCAGGGCACGGGCTGTTTGTCACCATGGTAGTGCAGCACCACCTGCAAAGGACAGATGGCTGTGGCAGCACAGAGCTGCGGATCACACCTGCCCGAGTCATCCCAGGTCACCTCTGGAGGCTTGGATGTGTCCTAGGAATCCCAATCCCCCTTCATGGGAGACATTGGCCAGAAAATCAAAAGCATCAGGATGGATCCACAGCGCAGTGTGGAAGGAAAGCCTCTGGTATCAGACCTGTCTGTGAGGGGTGCAGAACTGCCAAGGGCTCTCAGCCAAGACTCCCACAACAACAAGCCAGGGGAAAAGTGGGAAAATCCTTCTGGGGAGCACCTAGCTGATGCAGGGATGGGAAAACCTGTTCCTCTGCACTGAGCCTGAGCCTTGCCTGACAAATCATCCTCTGGCATGGCGAGGGGCAGCTCCTCAGCCCGGCCCCACTGTGCTGGCACTGAGGATGTTTGGGGAGTCCTCACCCCACTGTGCTGGCACTGAGGATGTTTGGGGAGTCCTCACCCCTCTGTGCTGGCACTGAGGATGTTTGGGGAGTCCTCACCCC